TATGACGTCTATTGAAACATTAATGAATGTATATGGGTGTAGGCAAGGGTCTTAGTCTTTTCTTGATTCCCATTCACATTTACACACCCTGAAACAAACATAGAAGCTGTAGAACAGTTTCCTAAATGCATCGTTGGCATACTTACTATCATAGTCTTGTTTCTCCTATTGCAAAATAGAAGAATTGTAGAATTTTCTAAGACATGATTTGACTACAGAGAATCTTAATAAACTATTGAATACAACTCATCAAGTTGTACATGAAACATGAATAGAAACTTAGGAACAGGTTCCTAGACAAACCACTATCGATATTACTCGAATCCACTGCTAATTTCTCATATGTACTGAAGATAGTATCTTCAAGACTGAGAGTTTGAACTGTCTTTCTTTTTAAATCGGTCCAAAGTTACTATTATTGAAACGTATTTGATGAATATTTGTTATGTTGAATCTTGATTTTTAAAATTATTCGCCTGTTTCACAATTTGTTCTGAAAGAAAAAAAAATGATTTTCAAAATTCAATATTTAGAACTTGAATATTGATCGAATGATTTGATTGAGTTCTCGAAATTACACAATCACTTATAATGTACAAATTAATGAAAGAAAAAAGAAGCAAAATAATGTCTAAGACAATATTTCAAAGTATGCTTGAGGCAATATTTGTTTACTCTACAACATAATTATTGCAATTGTAATCAAAGAGAATCCATCAACAGTTTATAAGAATCGATATAGTTTGAACTTTTAGAGAATAGATAAGTTGATTTATTCGTATTGTTAATAAAATGATTTTCTCACACAAAAGAAATTTTCTTTTTTTTTTTTCAAAATCAATCACGAATAAAGTGGTATTAATTAAAGAAAAATCATTTTATGTAATAAAACCGAAGTATTTTTGACTCAACGTTCACTACTGACAAGAATCTCTATTGAAAATATTAAAAATAGTATTCGTTTATTTACTCTATATCACTCATGTGTCGTAAGTTTGTATTTCTTTATGAACTTATTGAACTCGAAGAAAGTTAATTCCATTAATGTAAAAATTCATTACAATTTAATTATCGACTAATGATATTTTGCACACATGAATAGATAGAAAAAACAGTCTTTCATAGTAAAATATTGCGTATGAAATCAACAAAAGTATAATAGAGTAGAAGAAAATAGTCGAAGTTGAATGTTTTTTTTGTTTCTATAGAATTATAATGAACATCTACCAATGATTTACAGAATGTTATTGAGTACAATATTCATTCTCTTAAAATTCAAACTTGATGAACTCTAATGTTCTTTTGCTCTTTGACATACAATAAAATGTATGTTTAGTGCATTTAACAAATTCCAAAATAAATATATGCAATTTTTAATCACGAGGCCATTAAGAAAATGAAGAAAAAAAAAAAGTTGTTGACTAAATTACTTTTATAATCAAGATCTATTATGTTAAAGCAAGTAACGCAATCCATTTCCGGATTTTTTTACGATGAAAAAATCTCATCTACTGTTTGATCGAGAACAAACGACATGAGATGTTCAATATTCTTTATATGCATGTAAGACTAAGAAAATGTTACTATAGTCTCCTCATTGTTTATATTAAACAAGATAAATAACACATGAACAGTGAAGGTCAGGCTAGAGATGTGACATTCACTCCACCCTTAATCGTGAAAAATTGTTATTTTTTTTCCTAGCACAGCTGAAATTCTCCTTTTCGCGTTGTGTTAGAAGCAAGATAAAACTGATTCGAATGTCGGTTATTAAGAAAGTGATATTTCATAACAAACAAATAATCGTTTCTTCGATTGAGTACGCATTGTTTTCTACGAAAAAGGTACTTTTATTCTATTAGATTCATTTTTTTTTCTATGAATGTTGATAGATACTTTACATTTTTTTAATCCATTAATTCATATATGAAATCACTTATTCACAGAGAATACCAACTAGTTTTTCTTTCCTGTTTTCGTTTTAATTATCATGTATCTTGAAATAAAAACCGAAATTTACAAGACTTTACTTTTCTACTGGGTTATCCTTAAAGAATATATAACCTCCTTTTACAGATTCGAAAATAGATGAAAGTAATATGATATTAGTATTCTTATTTCGCGTATGAACGAGTATCATTGCAACATTTAGATATGTACATCTAGTCAGTAACACAAAACAATTCACATGAATACTGCATTTCATGCCGCATTAATGAATTATATGTTTGTTTAGTATGTCTGCATAATATCTAGTTGTATGTAATTACTAGTGGACGAAACATTTGATTGTATTTTTTTTTGTTTTATTACAAAATAATTTTATGTAGCAAGGTTTTGTTTTGTTTATTATGGAATACTTGTACGACATATGAATTAAGAACTGTCGTTTACTCATTGCCCTGCCGAAGAAAAGACCTTGTGAAGACTATTTTCTTTCCTAATCTCTCTCTCTCTCTCTCTCTCTCTCTCTCTGTCATTCTTTCGTTTCTGTTCGGTACTTTCCTATTCGTTGTCATATGAATCAAATATGCGTAATTTCTAATAATTGAGATGTTTTATATATATTTTTCTCTCTCTCTCTGATTTTCCTCTTTCATCCCTGATTTGTCGTCTTCAATTATTAAGCGAATAAGACTCAAGAATAATAAGAAAGAACAAAGGAGATGAACTTACATACAACGATAGTTTTTCAACGTAGACGCTAACAATAGAATGCATTATTAGAACAAATATATTTGTTGTCAAAAAGTAACGCTATTTTCTTTCTTGCTTTTTTTGCGACTTAATTTAAGAGTTGTACACATACATGTGAACTCTATCATACTCTCTCACACATTTATAACAAAGTAAAAAAA